TTAGCCGGTGGAAGCCTACGACCTTGAGTTGATGCTACACATTCCAACGCTTCCAATTCTATCCGGAACCGGTTCCGGGCTGTTAGCCGCCCTCGCCCGATTACATGAATCACGAGTAGATTTATAACTTGACCCAACCCATAAGAATTTACTGGTATGTTTTTACGATAGTTCTGTATAGTTGACAGGAGTTACAAAAATCCATTAAAATATTTGATATTTTTATTCCGCTCTCCGATTTTATATTACTCATTTTATATTACTCATTGTATTATACACACTGGTTTAACATCGAAATATATTTTATATTTCGATGTTAAACCAGTGATATTACGATTTCGTACGTCCCATCTCTAAGGGGATGTAGAAAAAAACGTGTACAATTCTTGTATAACGTTAAAAAAATTAACCGTTACTTCGACAGCGTCATTTACAACTAAATTTAATGAATGAAAGAGGTACAGAAAAAGCTCTAGAATTTATTTTCCTTAAATTTACGATTTATGAATTTGTTTGTCATAAAAATTTTTCTTTCCATCTTTTCCCTGAGACTACAAATATTCGAGTACAAAGTAACTGGTTTCGACTTATTTCTACTTAAAAAGTAGTTAAATAATTAAGCGATTAGGGAATTGGGGACGTAAACAAAACCCTGATGAAAGAGCCGGAATATTACTTAAACAAAAGCTTCACCGAACCAATCTATAGCCGAGTATAGTGGGGACCGATTTCTTCGAAATACCGTATTAGATGTAATAAAGACACATTTTTCCAGTTCGACGAGAGTGACCGAAAAGTTGTAAATTTTGGAAATTTCCGTGGACAACACCTGGGGTCCTAAAACGAATTAGTTAGGAAACAAAAGACGGACAATCTATTAAGTTTAACGTATTTAGATTTTTACAGCTATGGTGAGAAACGTTTAAAATTTACAAGAACCCTGTCGCGTCCATTGAGATATACTAGTGACATGACAAAAGACGTTAACCGGTATCGGCACCCTCGGGATTTGGCAGGAATGCACGCACCGCACACCTACCAAGATCGTCTCTGATTCCATCCTACGAGTCACTGATAGGGAGCACTTTTAACTAGGTGGATTGTTTTAATATTTAAAAAGTAAAACAATATCTTATGCTATTTTTATGTAATTTCTTCACAAAACTATATTCATACAATCGAATATTTTGTACCAGGTATGTATAATTGTATATCGATTATACATTTTATTTTAACAAGTTTTTNATCACACATTTTATTTTAACAAGTAAGTTTTTATAATTTTATTTTTAATTTTAGCCCTTATATTATAGCTAGCAATTTAGAATGTAATTGCGATATTGAAAATTTATTTCAAAAAGTTTTGGCTCGAGACCTTATAATGAAAAAGGAAACATTATTAAAAGAGAATTGCCTAAATTAAATATAAATACGTTCGACATTTTCACGATAAAATTTATGAAGATATAAAATGGCTTTGTGGATGCATAAAAATGCAAAATTTATTTTGTTGGCCTTGTCTACTATTTTCAAATAAAATTAGTGTGTGGAATGAGATTGGCTTTGACCATTTAAATAATTTGAGTAAAGCTGGCAAAAGACACGAAAATCCTAAATATATCATCGAATCTTTCGTAAAATTAAAGCAATTTAAAAATCAAAACAGAATTTAACATTAGTACACGATATAAAATAAATATTGAAAATTATAACGAGATAGTTACGGCTAATAGATATAATATATTTTAATTAGTAGATGTTATCGAAGCGAGAATTGGCATTTAGAGTACGTTGAGATCTATTAAATCTAATATAACGGAGTTAATTATATTGAACTCGCTTATTTATTAAGTGCGTTAGATAATCTATTAATTAAAAATACATTTAGAGAAGTCTACGGTTTTTACTGGCTTATCGAACGAACGAATACGAATGGACCCTAGACCATCGCTGATTGATTGCCCCTGGAAGTCGGCTTGTTACAAAAACACAGCTTCCCTATCATCAAATGTCACGGCACGCCCCTGCACTCGGGGGTTCGCTGATCCGCTCATTCGCGGGGTAAATTGTGGCAAACAGGCGGTCAGGTGACACGTAGAGTAATTTTCGGAGCGCTGTATCTCGGAAAGGGTCACGGGTAGGGGTATGGTCATTAGACATTTATTGTTCGCACAGAGGGGGATCACCACCTCTTCATTCGGAGGATAAATCTTACCGTTTCAATAGCGTCATACGGATCTATATTTCTACCTATTAGACATTCTATAAATACCTTAAAATAGTTTAATTTGTTTATATATCTTCGCCTGTAAACCTCGATTTTAAATATATCCACCATTTTTTCAACAAATTTCCCGTGAGTCAATGCGCGACGTTCATCGAGTCGCGGGATGTCGTAAACGTGCGGCGAGGCATATAATAATTATTTATACCATTATGTGGTATAAATAATAAATTCTTATTACAAATAAAAATAATTTATTGTTAATTTAAAATCTTCGCTAGGGCGCCTCTAGTGCCCGTTATCATACCGTTACGCGGACAGACGGATACCCGTTGAATGGGTTATATATATAGATGCCTGTTTCTAAAATCGAAGATATGAATGTTGCTAATATAGCCTTATCCGAAATATTTATCTTAGATTGCTTCGGATGGACAGTTATTTCTATCATTTCACCTTTTAATTCACAGTTTAAACTCTCGAGTAGATTTAGAAACATCGATATCGTCGGCCGCCATTTTCTTAACGAAGTAAAATAACGTTAGAGTTCCGTTCGAAGCGTCATCACCGCAGAGCATGCGCACTGGGCGAGACTATTACTATTCGAACGATTCGTTACTAAGGCGTTTAACTCGTTTGACTTTACGAACGTACAGTACCCTGAAAAAGTTACCCGGATAAAGCGTTACTCGACTGAACAAGCAAGCCAATAGAATAACTTGTTTCAAATGAAACGGGTTTTTCTATTGGCTAGCCCGTGAATCTGTGTTAATGCCACTCGTTTCCTATAGTATTTAAGAACACATTCTTTGAACATGTCAGGCGTAGTTTCCTTTGTGTCTTCGGAGTAGTCAACTGTGCCTCTTCGTAGTCAACAACGTTTACTTCAAGTTTAATTATTAACGATCGTGTATACAGAGAAGATATTGTATAAAAGAGTAACTTTGATCGCCTTAAATAGTTGAATACCGGTAAGTAGTCCTTTGAAATTCTTTTGTGAAAGTTTATCCTTACTGCATGGGGCCTTTTTTTTGTAATTTTCCTCTGTTAAGACACCTCTCTAGTAGACGTGTTCTAAACACACAAATTTTTCGAGGCGACGCGTATAATAAGAGCGGCTGTTTGGAGACGAGTGTTGTCACGTGACGAGTGTTGAAACGTTGCGCGCGCGCGCGAACGGCGGCTGCGCCTCCGCGAAAAAGAGAAAAAAAACAAAACAAACGAGAGATCGAAAAAATCGCTCTAAACAAATTATTAAAAATAATGAAAAAAAAAACGCATTTTTACTCACAGTCGTCTTCGGTCACTCGGCTGCTCTAGCACGCTTCTTTCCACTGTCGCCACGGTATTCCTTTCTTTTTTTTCTTTTGCTGGCGCTGCTTGCTCGCTTTTTCGGTATCGCTTCCGGGGCTGCCGGAACGGTTTTTGGCTCCTTCCATTCGGGCGCGCGGCCCGTTCCCGGATAAATTTTTTGTAAATGTTCGCAAAAAGTTCCGAAACGTTCGCCCGGTTTCAGACTTTCCCATCTCGAATGCTTTATATACATAAAGGCATATAGATAGGAATCACGAAGTTCCTCCGTGTAGTGAATGGGCAGATATTTCCTGTTCTTGAGAATACCCCACAACCTTTCGATGTTCTGCGTATGTACGACGTCCAGCGGGTTCACAAAATGTTCGGAATGATTTACGGTAGCGTGTTTTATCTCCATTCCTTCTAATTCGCCGATATGGTTATATCCCTTCCGTTGGTCGGTATAAATTGTAGATCCGGACCGGACGAACTCGCTAACGACCCAATTTAGACTGGCTTCGGAGCGATCGTTTACAAAACACAAAAAACAGTTCTTGTCTTCTTTACAGATTCCGCCGACCACCCACTTAGTAGTCCCTTTCAGCGTCCTCCCTCTTTCGTATTTACCACGCTTGCTTACGACCGTCTCGTCTATTTCCACGGTCTTTTCGGGGCCTCCAATTTTCAAACTCGTCAAATTAAACAGAGAGAGACCATCGTCGCGTGCCGAACGAAATTAGCCCAGTCGACGACGGTAGTGTGACTTACCGCAACGGCCAAACACGAAGACTTCGACGAACCGTCTATGCAAATGAGGTGCCAGACGAAAGCGAATATCGTTTCCCACCACATCTTACCAAATTTTCCCTCGAAAGTACCTTCGAACGCCGAAGTATTATTAACGTTGCACTTTCGACATCGGAAATAAACCGAACTAGCGTCATTTCTGTAACTTATTTTACGAACGAAATCCATTTTTGCGTAATTCGAACTACGCAACACACAAACCAACTCGTCGAATTCAAAGCGCGCGCATCGTCACGTGACAACACTCGTCTCCAAACAGCCGCGGCGTCGGAAGCGAGGCTAGCAGCAAAACAGGAAGTGCCGCCATGACGGTATACGTATCTGGAATTTAACACACGATTTCGACGTCACTCGATCACATACTTATTGATACTAGTGTGTTCAAGAACTTCCGTGAATCAATAACTAGTGACGTTAATAATAAGTCGTTTCTTACTACAAAATACATAATATACAGTAGTATATTATGATATATTACGTGACCGGACGGCACCGACAAATGTCACGTGACACTCTTCGTACGCGTCCGCCGTACAATGTGCCGCTCCGCGACGAAAACAAGATTAAGCAATGGTTTAGCAATGTGTTTAGGACACGTCTACTAGACAGGTGTCTTAAGAGAGCAAAATTACAAAAAAAGGCCCCATGAAGTAAGAATAAACTTTTACCTTCATATATGAATGTGCCATTAGAGGTATGAATAGCATGAATTAATTTAAGATAAAAATATAAGTAATTCTCTTTTTTATGTTTATTTTTTAGATACTCAGGATGGCCACTAGTTCAAATTTCGAATGTAGAATCTACCGTTGTGTGTCTAAGACAAAATACAACGAAGGGTACTTGGACCAATTGTATAGATTTTTAGAAAGTATAATGTTAAAACCAAGACATTTAAAAGACTACGGCTTCCCTTTACGTTCGTCGACAACTGGACAAACGTATTATAACGTTTCACGCTTGGAAAGTTGTACGGAGGACGAAAATAAACGCTTATGCATTCGTTGTCACGCGTATTTTAATATATGGATGGACGATCCGGACGACATCTGCGTTTACCATCCAAAAAAACTAATTACTGCCCATGCAGAAAATAACCATAAAATATACGCCTGTTGTAAGAAAGAAGAAGCGAGCATGGGGTGTTTCTTTAATAATTATCACATATCCACATCGAAATGTAGGCCGTCAGACGTTTTCTTTTCTACAGAAGAATGCGATTTCATAGAAAAAAACATCGTTGTATTTGATACGGAAATGTGTTATACAAAATTCGGGATGGAAATCAATAAGATCATTCTCTTGTCGTTCGATGGTTCATTAATATACGAAACGAACGTCTTGCCACAGTCACCTGTACTCGGGCATAAGAAGAAATGCTCGGAAATGATGGGTAAATTGTTAGTGCCATTTACACAAATGAGACGGTCTTTGTTAAGTTTTATCAACAAAGACACAATAATCATAGGACACGGATTGGAAAACGATCTGAAAGCTCTTCGTTTGATACACGAGAAAATTGTGGACACGTCTATCATATTTCCAGATAGACGTGGATTCCCGTATCGACCATCTTTAAAATCTTGGAACATTTGGGTAGAATCATTCAGACACCTAACCACGATATCGTAGAAGATTGCAGGGCGTGTCTGGATCTGGTTCTACTCAAATGGTACCAATCGTTTCAATGAAAATTATGAGTTTGTTGATCCTTAAACAGTTGATCTTTAAGAATGTTTGTTTTCCTGTAATTTAGTGTACATAAATACAAAACATGAACTCGAAACAAAACGGTATTTATTTCTTGTATGATATTGAGTGTTGTATAGTGTTATAGTACTGTACTTCAATGTTGAAAGTATAAAAACTTGAAACTGTTTACTAATTAAACTGCATGGCAATAAGAAGGCATGACAGTTTTTATCTTGTATTTAGTGATCCTCAGCTGTTATATTAGCAGTTATCGTCTCATGTATGGATGTTAAGCTT